CCCAAACGGGGCAGCACACACTGCCGACAGGGAAGTGACCGCTGCAAGGCGCCAGGGGTGCAAACGGCATCATTCGCGGGGAAGGCCCAGCGCGCGGTTCGCTCGGGGAGGAGCGGCGAGCCAAGGGGGTGGCAAGCCGCAGGAAGTGGAGCCACGGGAGGGCGGGCGACAGCGCCCGGCCAGAGGGGGTGCCAAGTGCGGCACGCCACCAGGGAAGATGGCGCGCCCGTGGCTGGGGCGGCGACGCAGGCAAGGCACCGCTGCGCACTGCCTGGGTTGGACAGTGCGAAGGAGACCGAGCGGCGGGCGCGCCGAGGAAGCGCGGCAAGAGAAAACCGAACTGGTGCGCAGACTGGTGGAAAAAATGGCGGCGCCTTCCAGGGTTGGGAGGGCGCCGGAGCCGTCCCCCACGGAGCAAGGGATTGTGGAAACACCAGACTGCGTTGGTTGGATGGCCCACCGCGGTCAGCACCGAAACCCCCTTCCTAACACACAATGCCAAAACAACTGCGTCAACATATCGGCCGCGCGCATATGGCCCGTGATCACCTTGTATCTGTGGTTGACAGGACGGCGGGGGTACCCCCCTGCTGTCCGCCCTGTGCAGGTCCATCACCCCTGTCAACACATAATGTAAAATACAACGCGCGGCAAAACAGAAAAAACGCGCGCGGGCGCCCCGTGAGCACTTCGCACAGGTGTTTGACGAGGACGGCGGCGGTATCCTCGCACTGCCCGCTCTGCGCAGACCCACCGCCCCTGCAAACACAGTGCAAAATCTACGTTGTGGCGACATCTGTTTCACGCGCGGCCCCCCCGCGATCATGTTGGCGCTGGTGTTGGTGATGGCGTTTCGGGAGTCACCTTTCTCACTGAACGTTCGGCAAACCACTTCCGAAGGGTTCCTGATTCATGAACTATTGGGATCGGGGCCCCAGGCTCGGATGTTGCCTATGTGTTGGGAGGGCGGGTGGGAATGAGCGGCACGGCTTGCGGCTTGGGATAGATTGAACACTTGTCCTACTTAACCTGCACCCCGTCCCCCAACCGACCAAAGACAAACCCAGGATCACACGGGCCCCAACCCCGCCATCCCGCTCATAAAAAACAATGCACATCGCAGATTGCGGCAAAATCTTAAGTCGTGTTCGGGGGGGCGCGAGCGTTTTGCATTGTCTTCTGACAGGGGCCGCGGGGGACCCAACACATGGCATAGAATGCGCAACGCCACCAACCCCGTCATGAACAATACATCCACGTATAGACAATGCGCGGGCGCCCCTTGACAGGGACGGCGGGGGTGTTTGCATATAGCAAACCGCGCGCAGGCCAAAACCCCACAATCTGAATCATGCGCGGACGCCCCCTGATCACTTTGCATTGGCTTTTGACAGGGATGGGGGGCGGCATCTCGCCTGTTGCGTGCCAGGCCAAGAGACAAGAGACAAGAGCCCGCGTCGAAGCACCTACGAGGGTGCGGCGGGGGGGCGCCGGGGCGCCGCTCAAAAGCCGGGGTCGGGAAATGGCAGCCGGGTCGGAAAGATGGGAGTGCTGACGGAGCCGCAGTCGGAGAAGAAGATTCACACGTACTGCCACAGTCGAATACATTTGAGCAAAATCGGGACCACCGTCGGAAAGATGGAGATAGGAATCGGGACCTGAATCGGATAGATGGGATTTGACCTGGAAGCGGAAAATTGGGACCCGGAGTTGGAGCCGGAGCCGAATCTGGAACCGGAGAAATGAGATTGCAGAGTCGGACAAATGGCAGCCAGAGTCGGAGCCAGAGTCGGAGGGATGAAATGGGAGAGCCAAACTCGGAAAGATGGGACCTGGAGTCGGAGCCGGAGACGGACGGACGAGATGGGAGAGGCGGAGTCGGAAAGATGGGATCCGGAGTCGTAGCCGGACTCGGAGACATAGGATGGGAGAGCCAGAGTCGGAAAGATGGGACCTGGAGTCGGAGCCGGAGTCGGAGGGATGAGATGGGAGAGCCAGAGTCGGAAAGAAGGGGGCCGGAGTCGGAGCCGGGGACGGGGAGACATTGAACTGCCGCCAGAATCGGGGAATCGTCATTCGTGTCAGCGAACTGATCGGGAGTCGTGCTTCCGAAGTCGGGGCATCGGTAGTCGTGCCAGGGTTAATGTCGGCGCACGAAGCCACCTTCGAGAGTTCCCCACATATTCGTCGAAGCAATACCAAGTATTTCTAAAGGTGCGACGGATGATGGGGACGATGGTGATACAATGAAGCGCGATAAGCTTGTTGCCGTAACTGCGTCGTTGCATGCCGTGCACAAATATTGTCTCAAATCGTGCAACCATCTTTGTTTGGGCTGTCCTATTCGGCGGGTTGCATTGTACCTCACGTCCTGTTCCGGCGTCCATTGTGAAGCAAGTTTCGCCCATTCGGCGGCTTCCGTCGTTGCAAGGTGCCGCGCCCACCTCCATATCTGTCATCGTGCTAACGCTGTCCAGTCGTCGATATTGAGTCGTTTTAGGTTCTCTTCTGCGGCGTGAGTGGGTCGTCGGATCCAGTCCGCCCAGGGCTCTTCCACTTCTGCGTGAGGAATGCCACATGGCGCAGAGGAGGGCGTTGTGGTGTCGTCATCGTCGCTAGTATTGGTTTGGGCGTCGTGGCTGTGCGTGTACCTGCGGGCGCTCTCACCAGTCAGCGCGTCTGTGTCAGAAGGGCGTTGTTGCATCGGCGTGGTTGGGGAACGAAAAGCCGACATAAACATAATAGGCACACAATTTCCGATTGGGTGCCCGCCTCTGCGCGCGGGCTGGCGCGCGAACCTATTTGATCGGGGCGTGCAGACAAATGTGCCCGCGTCACCCCACTCGAACACACGCCCGCTTCCAGGGCGTCAGCGATTTCGAAGCGGCAATCTCCAGGGACCGCCAGGCGTCGGAAAACAGACCCAGCGGGCGAGCGGAAAAGCCGAAAGTCCTCGCCGGCGGATTTCCCAGAACAGTTCTCACTTTCTGAATTCCATTCGGACGGTTCGAGCGGCAACGCGAGTTGGAGTGTTATGTAAATCCCACATGCTCTGCGTATATCAATCAAAAGTTTTATGTCACACCAGGACACCCAATGACGCAAAAAAAACCAAGAACCCTGCTCCGCACACCTCAAAACACCATCGCGGATAGGTTGGTGCTTGATTTTTGGCGCGGCGATGACGCAGGGAACCTACGGCAGCAACTGCTCGCCCTATACAGGCCGTTTGCGCACTTGGGGGAACTGCGGCATCACGGACGAATTGGTGCGAACATTGGCCTATGTTTGTTGCGAATCAGTCTCAGCCGTTTTCGCGGAATTGCGCAAAATTGGTCCTGTTATTATGTTTATGCGGTCGTTTTGTTCCTGAGCGGTTGCGTTGCTCATGCGACGTGGCATGCGCACGATCATCCAGAGCATCTGCCGTTGAGTCTTCCGCAACCATTGTTCCAATTGTTTTGTAATGGTCCAAGCTTCGCAAACATACAGAACCGTCGGGGCGATCGTTCCGTGGAACAGTTTGCGCCGGCCGTTGGGAGAGTAGTTGTTGCTTGTAAGGTCAGTCTTCAATGTGCGAAATCTACGCTAAGCCGTGGCGATGATATTCTCTATCTCTGTCGCATGAAAATCGTCGAGGTCCACTCTTCTCCCCAAGTATTGAATACTCTGATAAGGCGGTAAGAATTCTATACTCATACCACGGACATCATCGCGCGTGGGCGGTCGCTCTGCTCTGGATGGTCTGTGTCCGTTGCGCAGGATCTTCGTCTTGTCTGCTTCTTCTGCTTCCCCACTTAGGACCCCCAGCATGCTCTTGACGTGGTCATTCGTTCCAGCGACAAGAAGAATGTCATCAGCAAAGCGGAGATTCGTGAGGCGGTCGTTGGTGTGGGTCTCTAAGCAATGCTCTTTGACGTCCAAACTTGTTTCGCCCGCTGCATCACGTGCTCGGAAACGCTGTTGAACAATAGTGAACTCAATGGGTCGCCTTGCTTTGTCCCGCGGCGAATTTCAAAAGTCCGACTGTTCTGGTCGGTCCTGACCGAGGCAGTTTGGTAGTAATGAAGTTTCGACAGCAATTGCGTGTGCGCTGGTGGTGTGCCCTGCTCTGCAAGCGCTTGCCAAATGCTGCTATGCGTTCATCATCATCATCATCATCATCATCATCATCATCATCATCATCATCATCATCATCATCATCATCATCATCATCATCATCACCATCACCATCATCATCATCATCATCATCATCATCATCATGACCATCACCATAATCACCATCATCATCAGCATCACCATCATCATTTTCACCATCAGCATCAACATGGTCATCATCACTGCACGTTACCTTCATCATCCTCACCAACATCATGGAGCCCATCTCCTCCTCCACACCGAACTCCTCGTCCTCCCTCCTTTTCCCCCTCCTCTTCATTATTGTACTTATCCTCCCTATGATCACCTTCGTACTCGTAGTCCAAATCTTCTTCCACCTCCCCCTCCTCCTCCAACTCCTCTTCACCATCCCGTCATCCTCTTCCTCCTACCCGTCATCATCAGCATCATCAGCATCATCATCATAATCGTCATCATCATCATCATCATCATCATCATCATCATCATCATCATCATCATGATCATCATCATCATCATCATCATCATCATCATGATCATCATCATCATCATCATCATTATTGCCATCATCATCATCATCCATATCATCAGCATCCATATCATCATCATCATCATCATCATCATCATCATCATCATCATCATCATCATCATCATCCTCATCCTCATCATCATCATCATCATCATCATCATCATCATCATCATCATCATCATCATCATCATCATCATCATCATCATCATCATCATCATCATCATCATCATCATCATCATCATCATCATCATCGTCATCATCATCATCATCATCGCCGTCATCATCATCATCGCCCTGTTGGACTTCCTCCCCACCCTCCCCTCCGGGTGCGCGCGTTGAAGTGGAGGCCGCCCTGCCGGTGCCCGTACACCCACTGGCCGGTGACGTTCAGCGTCTGGGGGCCCATCCTCCTCCAGCCCCACTCATCCTCATCCTCGCCCTCCATGCCTCCTCCTCCCTCCTTTCCCTCTACCTCCACGTCCCCCTCCTCCTGAAAATGTGGCAGGAGCTGTTTCTCGAAAAGGCAAGAGAGTACCTGGGCCAAACACTGATGGCATCAGACAAACACGCAAAATCGTCTGACACGCATCGGGCAAACGAACATCCTCACCCAATCACGCGCCCATGTCCTCACAGCCTCCCTCGGCCAACGTTGGCCGAATAAGGCGACAGATGAAGAATTTCTATAAAGCGAACTGGCTAGGAACTAACTAAGTGGTGCCAATAGAAAACAATATAATAGAGATATACGTATACACTTGCGACTGCAAAAGCAGAAGTTACAAAACGTCCTGCGGCGAAACTAAACGCGCAAACTGATTAAAATCGCAAGTGGTGCAGATAGAACGTCGGGTGCAAACGCGCAGGGGCCTCCTAACACGTCATGCACTATTTTGCAAGACTCGCAACAGCACCAAATCACGCTGGACACTTGAATTTAACACAATTGCACGCAGACGATCAAATGGATATCAACTGACCACGATTTCAACTCCCCGCCACAGCGGCGTGCGAAGAGAAGCCAGACAAACATTAGGCTTACACTCAGTAGCGGGCGCAAACTCACGCCTCGCGTCAACAATTTGTTGAGTTGTGCCTGGCATGTGCCTGGACAGACCGCTCCTTCTAACATAGTTGGTTAGAGCGTCAGCAAAATCCCCTTGCGGTTCCTATTCCGATCAGTTTGATGCCTCCTCGTCGCACCTTCTTCTGCAACCAAACACGACAAACGTCGATGTGTCAGATTGTTCCCAAACTCCTCGCCGCCTCGCAATGGCAATGACCGCGCTAGCACCACTCTTTAACACGGTACCACAATCATCATCGAAATATGTCAAAACTGCCCGTGGTCCTAGCGCTGCTGACCCACGTTTCACCGTTCCGCGGTACTCTGGTTATCCGGAAGATATCGCCAAAACTCTCAGAGCTGAGCTCCGCGACCTGATCAAAACTGATATACACAAAACTGTTTTCCCATTTGTTGTTATACGTGTTCCCGTGCATGTGGCCTTGTCGGCGTCGGCAAACACGGTTAAATCGTTGGGGCATACCCGATGCATGCGCTGATGCCCACACCTGTTGCGGCCCTTGCGGTGCTTGCCCCGCTTTACGAAGCTGTTCCATGCCAAGCGAATCGGAACCGACTAAGAGCGCGCAAGCTCCTCAACTGAAAACTGCAGGCCCTGTTGCTCCAGGCTTGATTCACTGACGAATATATCGGCGCGTCTTGGACCCGCCCCATGCCGCGGCCCATCCTGGCTCCACTCCACAGATCGGCCGAGAACCCTGTTCGACTTCAAGAGCATCCGCCCCGGCCCCAGTACACCTCGGGCTTTGATTTCAAATGTCGAACTTCTCCGTCGAACCAGCCAAGGTCCACATCGCCGCCCAATAAAGCGAAGTCATATCCGCGCACTTCTGACCTGATTCGCCGCGACCTGGGCTTTGTTTTATATATATATATATATATATATATATATATACATATATATATGAATGAGTGAATGTATGTATGTATACATGTGTATATATAACCAACACGCGGTCGCGCTACGCCGCCGTCAAAGCCGACGTCGCACGCGGAAGCAATGCAACGGTCTTCCCAGTTGATGGCAGCGCCCCAGCTTTAATTATCTGAAACGCGCGCTTGGCTCGCGATCATCTTCGAGCAACCCGACGGAGCGGCCCATCTTGGCCATGGCGCATGAGCGCGCCCGCCCGCCATCAGAAAATCCCGGCCGCAGTCCTTTTTCACGCCCCCCCGCGGTTATGCCCCACCCCCTCGGCAACGGCCGCGGAGAACAAAGCGTTTTGGGCTTCCAGCAGAGGCGCGACTGCAAGTGTGTTATTGTCCGTGGAATTTATCTTAACTTGCTGCGCCGCTGGCCGGGGCCGGCGCCGGGGGTCGGCCCTCCCCCCCTGCCGACGTCTATCCGCCTCGCGCCGATGAGGGGGCTTTGCCCGCGGCCGCCCAGCGTTCCCCCCCCTTTAGCTCTCTCGTGGACCTCGCGCTGCCTAAATGCCCGTCAAAGTCCCCCCCCCCGCCAAGCCGCCGACGCGAGGCCGGGAAGGGTCGCAAGCGGGGGGCGCGTCGTCGCACGCACGCAACTTCCCACGTCAGCGACGAACGAAACGCATCTCCTCAGACAACCAGCCGCGCCCCCCCCCCCCCCCCCCAGCGCCTCCGCAAGCCTCGCGCGCCTCGGGGGCCCTCGACCGCCCCAGGCGCCAGCGCTCTCCGCGCGCCCATTGGCGAGGCCGGGTGCCCCGAGTATCGCCATGGGTGAATTCGCGCGCAACTCCACTGCATTTGCCCCCCCGCCGCTTCCTCCATTCTCGCTGGCCCCCCTGCCCTCGAGCGCCTGGCCGGCGCCCAAGTCCCGAGTAACTCCGCGCCGCCGCGCGCGCGAAGTCGGCGCTGGATTTCCAGGGGGCGCGCGACGCGACGCGGGCGCGACGCGCTGGAATCCCCTCTGGCGCAGGATACGGCAAGCCCACTTCCGCGCCCACGTGGATCGCCCCAGACCTCATCGATTGAAACTCCTCCGTCGGTTTCAGCCCAGTGGGCCTCGCTGGCGCCGGGGAAGCGAGTCCCGATGGGGGGGGGCCCAGCCTGTCGTCGCCCGTCAACTGGCCAGCTACGCCGCCAATATAGCCCGACAAAGAGTCGGCCCGATCGACCTCTGACCTCCTCTTCCCGCCTCCGCCAATGAACTCGACGCGCCCGCGCCGGCCAATAGATTTCGCGCCGAGGGCTTCTCCGACGCAAGGGCCGGTCGCCATGGGCCGCCCGGGTTGCTCCGCGAGCCCCCCCATCGCCCTTTTAACGCGTGCTTCAAGCCGTCGCGGCGCAAGTCCCCGTCGCACGCGCTCGCGCCGTCGCGCTTCAACGCCCCCTGCGACGGCGGCGCTGCCCAACTTGAGGCCCGCGCAGGGTGTCCGAAGAGACAGCATCACCCATTATTTCTTCGAGTCTGAAAGTGCCCCAGCGCGAGATGTTCAACCGCGTTGCCAAGCATGCCCGTCGTTAGATCCGGCCGGAGTCCCATTGCATTGAGAGCCATTAGCCTGCTGCCGGCTGCGCGCATGGAACTCGAGATTCGCAAGATGGATCCTTTGTTCTTGCTGGCGCGCATTGCCCCTCCTCGCATCGCGTCGCAGATGAAGCGCCATGGCCCCCCATGATCATCGCAAGTACTTCGGCCCGCGCCCCATCTGTTTCGCCGCGCCAATAACTCGGACCAGCGAAAGTGTCTCAGTAACGCGCGCCTGCGCGTCATGCTAGCACTTGCCGCGCGGCCTTGCGATTCCCCGGTTCTCCATCACATGTCGACTGAGACGTCCTCATCAAAGCGCATCATGTTTAACCCGATGAGACAATCGTCAATGTTCTACGCGCCCTGTTCTTCACTCTCTTGGTCGGGTTGAGTTTCTTCCATGTTCTCAGTGTCGGGATTCTCGCCACCTCCGACTTCTTGAACCCCCTGATGCATGTCCTCGCCTTCAGCTTCTTCCTCTCGAACTTCCCTGGTCCTCTGATCGCCTCCAGAGCCCCCTGCCTTGCTCACTGATGCTGATCCCGGCGGGGCGGCGTCAGCCCATCGCTCATCGCCACCTGCCGAAGCAACGCGGGACCCAGTCAGGCACGTCAGAAACCCTGGCAACCCCCTCCCATCTTAAAGTTGCCCATCGTCGGCGGTAACTTCCATTTCGCCAGTTTCCCGATCAATAATCGCACGTGCTCCTCTCTTATTGCGCCATCAATGTAGCGCTCTACTCTCATGTCTCTAGGCGCATGCACTTTGCTTCTGGTTTCGCGGCGCTGTCGACTGACTCACCCAGCCCTGGAACCAGCCGTCTACCAATGGATCATTCCTGTCCACGTCCTCCTGGAAACACCTGGGATCCATCCTCATCTGGGGGGCTGCGAATCTCTCTTGGATGCACGGGTCGCGCTGCCCTGAGACACTCGACAACACGCTCTCGGCACTCTGCACAGCGACGCCCCCAGGCTGCATCTCCTCGGGCTATGGCCATGCACCCAGAACGTCCCAGCGTAGGGCCCCATGGCCACGGACTCCAGCTTCTTCACTGCAAACCCTGATGCTACTAAGTGCTGGGTGTCTGCAGCTACGCCTTGACTGGGCCACCGCCATCGGCGAGGTCAGGCTGGCCGAAAAATTCCACGCCACGCGCGTTCGGGCCTGGTTGCCAGTGTAATCGCTTCATTTTGCTAACCTCATTTCAGTTCCACTTATCATCGTCGCCCCCGTGTGCCTGAGCTCGCGAGTCTAGACTGCGCCCATGACAAGCTCTTTGACTGGCTTCATGTTTTCCCAGAAGCACACCACTCTCCCACCTCGCTTTGAGGTCCTTGCTTCCCCGTGTAAGTGGAGTCTGCAAGTGCATGACGCAATCTCCCAAACTCGGGCAACGGTTCGTTCAATTTTCACCCTCGGCACCTTTGTGGAAAGTCTTGCCATCTGCGTCTATCGCGGCATTGCTGGTGAAAAATGATGCAGACCAGAAGCCACGAACCAAAATATCAGGCCATGCTCCGCGCGGACTTCACAATAATTTGCGTCGTCCAAAGCGCTCTGTGATGTCAATACTTGGCCCATGCATTTCTGCTTGCCCTTTACACTTCACCAAGCCTGGGCGTCTCCGACCGGATGCCTCCAATCCGACGCTGTAATCGAGCGAGACTGCAACGGGCCCCTGGAGTGCCGCAATCGACGCCCCCCCCCCCATCGTTTCTTATGCAAAAAAAATGTTCCCAACCATCATGTGGCGTTGGGTCCTCGTTTTGAAGAGACGTCGCCCCGCGTTCCTTCCTCCTCCTCCCCCCTCCCCCCCCCTCCTCCCCCTCCCACGCCCATTCTGGCACGCCCCTCACACGCTTCGTGGCCCCATAGGGAGCTCCACCGAAGGCCCCAGTGGCTGCGCCCGCATGCGGTTCCACCCCCCATTCTGGCACACCCCTCACACGTTTCGTGGCCCCATAGGGAGCTCCACCGAAGGCCCCAGTGGCTGCGCCCGCATGCGGTTCCACCCCCCATTCTGGCACACCCCTCACACGTTTCGTGGCCCCATAGGGAGCTCCACCGAAGGCCCCAGTGGCTGCGCCCGCATGCGGTTCCACCCCCCATTCTGGCACACCCCTCACACGTTTCGTGGCCCCATAGGGAGCTCCACCGAAGGCCCCAGTGGCTGCGCCCGCATGCGGTTCCACCCCCCATTCTGGCACACCCCTCACACGTTTCGTGGCCCCATAGGGAGCTCCACCGAAGGCCCCAGTGGCTGCGCCCGCATGCGGTTCCACCCCCCATTCTGGCACACCCCTCACACGTTTCGTGGCCCCATAGGGAGCTCCACCGAAGGCCCCAGTGGCTGCGCCCGCATGCGGTTCCACCCCCCATTCTGGCACACCCCTCACACGTTTCGTGGCCCCATAGGGAGCTCCACCGAAGGCCCCAGTGGCTGCGCCCGCATGCGGTTCCACCCCCCATTCTGGCACACCCCTCACACGTTTCGTGGCCCCATAGGGAGCTCCACCGAAGGCCCCAGTGGCTGCGCCCGCATGCGGTTCCACCCCCCATTCTGGCACACCCCTCACACGTTTCGTGGCCCCATAGGGAGCTCCACCGAAGGCCCCAGTGGCTGCGCCCGCATGCGGTTCCACCCCCCATTCTGGCACACCCCTCACACGTTTCGTGGCCCCATAGGGAGCTCCACCGAAGGCCCCAGTGGCTGCGCCCGCATGCGGTTCCACCCCCCATTCTGGCACACCCCTCACACGTTTCGTGGCCCCATAGGGAGCTCCACCGAAGGCCCCAGTGGCTGCGCCCGCATGCGGTTCCACCCCCCATTCTGGCACACCCCTCACACGTTTCGTGGCCCCATAGGGAGCTCCACCGAAGGCCCCAGTGGCTGCGCCCGCATGCGGTTCCACCCCCCATTCTGGCACACCCCTCACACGTTTCGTGGCCCCATAGGGAGCTCCACCGAAGGCCCCAGTGGCTGCGCCCGCATGCGGTTCCACCCCCCATTCTGGCACACCCCTCACACGTTTCGTGGCCCCATAGGGAGCTCCACCGAAGGCCCCAGTGGCTGCGCCCGCATGCGGTTCCACCCCCCATTCTGGCACACCCCTCACACGTTTCGTGGCCCCATAGGGAGCTCCACCGAAGGCCCCAGTGGCTGCGCCCGCATGCGGTTCCACCCCCCATTCTGGCACACCCCTCACACGTTTCGTGGCCCCATAGGGAGCTCCACCGAAGGCCCCAGTGGCTGCGCCCGCATGCGGTTCCACCCCCCATTTCGGCACACCCCTCACACGCTTCGTGGGTGGCTCCATGGGGAGCTCCACCGAACGCCCCAGTGGCTGCGCTCGCATGTGGTTCCCCCCCCCCCATTTCGGCACACCCCTCACACGGTTCGTGGCCCCATAGAGAGCTCCACCGAAGGCCCCAGTGGCTGCGCTCGCATGCGGTTCCACCCCTTTTTTTCGGCACGCCCTTCACACGTCTCGTGGCCCCATAGGGAGCTCCACCGAACGCCGCAGTGGCTGCGCTCGCATGCGGTTCCACCCCCCATTTCGGCACACCCCTCACACATTTCGTGGCTCCATAGGGGGCTCCACCGAATGCCCCAGTGGCTGCGCCCGCATGCGGTTCCACACCCCATTCTGGCATACCCCTCGCACGTTTCGTGGCCCCATATGGGGGCTCCATCAAAGGTCCCAGTGGCACTGCCCGCTTGCGTCCGCCACCACCCTGCACAGCCCTTGTTCCCTGCGTTTCACCCACCCAGAACAGCGCTTCGTAGCCCTATAGGGAGCTCCACCAAAGGTCCCAGCGGCACCGCCCGCATGCGTCCGCCACCACCCTGCACAGCCCTTGCTCCCTGCCTGCGTTTCACCCACCCAGTACAGCGTTTCGTGGCCCCATAGGGAGCTCCACCGAAGGTCCCAGTGGCACCGCTCGCATGCGTCCGCCACCACGCAGCACAGCCCTTGCTGACCGCGTCTCACCCACCCAGTACAGCGCTTCGTGGCCCCATAGGGAGCTCCACCGAAGGTCCCAGTGGCACCGCCCGCATGCGTCCGCCACCACCCAGCACAATTGCGGCATTCACAACTGCATATGGTTGGGTCCTTCGCCAGGCTAATTCTTCTGTGGCCCGCGACCAGAACCATATTGTTGATTGCGTTGTTTCTGTCTTCGTGGAAGAAGAAGCAAACTTGTGATTGAGTACTGAGCCGCGCCCTTCTGAAACGATTGGGCTTCCCCTGCCGGCTTCCCCACCGTTTCCTTTTCACCCTACTTGACACATGTAACCAACTGAGATCACCGACGCACCCTTTCCCAGCGCGCCTCACTTCTTTTCGCGGGACCTCCTCCCGGCTTCGCCCCTGCCGCAATGGGGGCACCAGCTTCGACATGGTAAATGGCGAAGTGCGCACCTACGATGTCTACTCTGCTTTGTATTAGATCGCGGGCGATTTCGCTGGGAACATCAGCCCCCTCGCCGACGAACGCGCCCTCCGCGTCACTGAACTCGCTGCCCCCATCCTCGCCCACTTCGTCTTTCTCCAAATGCATGATGAGCGGGTTCCGATCGGGGCCCACGGGCCTACACGGACTCGGTAGAACAAGACCGTGGTGAGAGGCGGGCAGTGAGCACCGCAGTTTTTGTTCGGGGCCGAGCCCGGGAACTGGCGAAGAGCTCCCTGATATTGCACGTCGGGCCGACGCCTCCGCCTCCAACTCCGTCCTGTTCTCGAGAGCCAGGAGGCTCTGGAGTCTGCAGGGACTGAGCCAGGCCCAGACCTACGTCAGGCAACCAGGCGCCGTTCGGAAGCGCTCCGTCAAACTCCCCCGTCCGCACGCTTGGTTCCGTGCCTTCAGGTCCTAGCAGTGCTGTCACTGATTGTTACGCCAGGTTGCCCTGGCACGCAAGTCACCGCTAGGCACTCGCAGGCTCTACGGTCACGGGGAAATCCTGTTCAGCATCGTCCTCATCATCGCCATCATCATCATCATCATCACCACCATCATATACCATTCGCCATCACATTTCAACATCAACATCATCATCAGTGCCACCACCACCATCATCACGATCAGCATAATAATCATCAGCAGCCGCATCATCATCGCCATCGTAATCGTCATCATCAGCATCATAATCATCATCAGCATCACTATCATTGCCATCATGATCAGCATCCTTATCATCATCAGCAACAGCATCATGATCAGCAACATCATCATCATCAAACGCAAAATCAAAATCACACACCACGAACCTAACCATGGACCATATGCATACTCACACTCGTCCCAATCATCGTCGTCATTATCATCACCAACATCATCATCGTCCACATCGTCATCGCCATGAATATCGTCGTCCTCCTCCTCATCATCGACATAAGCAGCAGCAGCAGCATCTTCATCACCGTCATCACCGCCAGCATCATCAGCGTCACCAGCATCAGCAGCACCATCATCATCGGCAGCATCATCATCGCCGTCACCATCACCATCGCCATCACCATCATCACCATCACAATCAATGCCACCATCCTCATCATCATAACCGTCATCAACAACAGCATAGTCAACATCGTCGTCGCCATGATCATCTTCAACATCACCACCACCAACATCATCATGAACAACATCACCGTCTCATCGTCATCATCAGCACCATCACCATCATCATCACCAGCATCATCATAATCATCATACTCACCATCATCAACATCATCAACGGCATCATTTTCACCATCAACATCATCATCAACAACATCAGCACCATCATCAGCACCATCTCCATCAGCATCATCATCATCGTCATCATCATCATCGCCATCATCATCGCCGATGTCGGCCCGACCCCCTCCCTCCCCGCCTGGATGTACATGTCCGCGCACGCCCTGCCGATGCGCTCCACCCCCGCCTGCGCCGCCGAGGAGGGGGCCCCCGGCAGACACGTGGGCATCCGATGGCAGGGCTGGACCTAAACGGTGGTTTGAATTCGTGGGCCGTTTTCGATTCGACTTCGTTTTGCGGTAGAGGCGGCTTGAAGACAAAACGAGGGAAAACGAAAACAAAACAAAAACGAAAACGAAAAACACCGTTCCGCCCAGCCCGATGGGGCCACGGAGACGCCCAGCACCCAATCGGCGGCGCGCCGAGGGGGGAGCGAGAGAGGGGGCTGCCCTCCTCAGAAGGCGGCGGCGCGTCTCCGAAGCCCGCCAGCCTCCAGGGAAGCCATCTGCGGCTTCTCAGAGGAGGAGGAGGAGGAGGAGGAGGAGGAGGAGGGGGAGGAGGAGGAGGAGGAGGAGGAGGAGGGGGAGGAGGAGGGGGAGGAGGAGGAGGAGGAGGAGGAGGAGAGGGCCCGATGCCCCCCCTGAGCCTTTTAAGAAGGCCCGCCCCCTCTGCCCCCCCCCCCTGCGCACGCCGCCTACAACGGCCAAGGGTCCACCGAGCTTCCGCCGGCTCTTCGCATGCCTCTTGGCACCCTTCGCAGGAGGAGAAACGTCTGCACAAGCATTAACTCTCGGCTCGCCATCGTTCGGACGCCCATTCCAAGCGCGCGCTTCGGCATCGCGCGTGTTTTCACGCAAGATGATCCAGAAAGCTCAGTCGGAGGTCCTCGCCCGCGCGTGTTTTCACGCAAGATGATCCACACGCCCGGGCAATGCTCAGTCAGAGGTCCTCGCGGATCTCTTGGATCGGCCCTGCGCCTCTCTCCCAGCGGACGCGGGGCGCGACGGGGGCGGCGCTGGAGGCGCCGCAGGGGGGGCTAGGGCCCATCCAAAAATTCCGCGCGGATCTCCGAAAATGCACGCCGATCTTTCTTCTCCGCGCTCGGGCAGCTGGCTGCCCCCCCCCCTCCACCCTCGGGGCTCAAGAGACGGGGGTCGATGCAAACGGGGGTCAGTCAGAGCGCGAGATCTCGCGAGATCCTGCAGAGCCAGACCTGCACTGACCCGGGCTTGGGCACAGGACCCCGCAGGATCCTGCAGGATTTGGCAAGATCCTGAACGGCCCGACTGACCTGGATTGACCCTGGGTTTCTTGGCTGCCGGCTGCAAGGACCCATCTCCGCCCGCCTGGACGTGGAACTTCGTGCTCTTCTGCTTGGCGAAGCGGGGGATCTGCACCAGGGTGTGCGAGCCTGGCTGCATGAGGTCGAACTTCTGCCCGAGGACGTTCTGCATGTGAGGGTCGCCGTAGGCCTTGATCTCTGCCGTCGCCCCACTCTGGCGTGACGGCGGAGAGCTTGAGGGCTGAGCCGTCTCATTTAACTGCGTCTCGCTGGCCTGAGCGTCGAGCCGAGTCGTCTCCTTGATTTTGGCCTCCGCCTTTGCCTTCGCCTTGGCCACAGCTTTGGCGAGCAAATCGGCCTGTGCCTGGGCGCTCGCCTTCGCCTGTGACTCTTCCAATATGTTTGCCTCCGCCTTCGCCTTGGCCGCCTTGGTAGCCTCGGCCTCCGCCGTCATCTTAGCCTCTGCCTCCGCGTTCGCCCTGGCCTCCGCCTCCGCCTTGGCCGCTGCCTCCACGGCAGCCTGAGCCTCTGCCTGCGCTGCAGCCTTGAGCTCTGCATCCGCCTTAGCCTCCGCCTCCACCTTGGCCTTGGCCGCTGCCTCCATGGCAGCCTCTGCCTCTGCCTGCGCCGCCGCCTCGAACTCTGCACCCGCCTCGGCCTGTGCCATCTTGGCAGCCTGAGCCTCTGCCTGCGCTGCAGCCTTGAACTCTGCGTCCGCCTTGACCTCCGCCTCCGCCTTGGCCTTGGCCGCTGCCACCTTGGCAGCCTCTGCCTCTGCCTGCGCTGCAGCCTTGAGCTCTGCGTCCGCCTTGGCCTTGGCCGCTGTCACCTTGGCAGCCTCTGCCTCAGCCAGCGCCGCCGCTTTGAACTCTGCATCCGCCTTGGCCTCCGCCTCCGCCTCCGCCTTGGCCGCTGCCACCTTGGCAGCCTCTGCCTGAGCTTCTGCCTGCGCTGCAGCCTTGAACTCTGCATCCGCCTTGGCCTCCGCCTCCGCCTTCGCCTTGGCCGCTGCCACCTTGGCAGCCTCTGCCTCTGCCTGCGCCGCCGCCTCGAACTCTGCATCCGCCTTGGCCTCCGCCTCCGCCTCGGCCTTGGCCGCTGCCTCCATGGCAGCCTGAGCCTCTGCCTGCGCCGCCGCCTCGAACTCGGCATCCGCCTTGGTTTCCGCCTCCACCTTGGCCTTGGCCGCTGCCTCCATGGCAGCCTCTGCCTCTGCCTGCGCCGCCGCCTCGAACTCTGCATCCGCCTTGGCCTCCGCCTCCGCCTTGGCCTTGGCCGCTGCCACCTTGGCAGCCTCTGCCTCTGCCTGTGCTGCAGCCGTAAACTCCGCGTCCGCCTTGGCCTCCGCCTCCGCCATGGCCGCCGCCATCTTCGCAGCCTGAGCCTCTGCCTGCGCTGCAGCCTTGAACTCTGCGTCCGCCTTGGCCTTGGCCGCTGCCACCTTGGCAGCCTCTGCCTCAGCCAGCGCCGCCGCTTTGAACTCTGCATCCGCCTTGGCCTCCGCCTCCGCCTTCGCCTTGGCCGCTGCCTCCATGGCAGCCTGAGCCTCTGCCTGCGCTGCAACCTTGAACTCTGCATCCGCCATGGCCTCCGCCTCCGCCTTCGCCTTGGCCGCTGCCTCCATGGCAGCCTGAGCCTCTGCCTGCGCTGCCGCCTTGAACTCTGCATCCGCCTTGGCCTCCTGGAAAGCCTTAGCCTCTGCAGCCGATGCCACCTCGAATTCTGCATCCTCCTTAGCCGCTGCCTCTGCCTCGGCCTTGGCTGCTGCCTCCGCCGTCGCCGTGGCTGCCGCCTCTGCCTTGACCTTGGCTTCTGCATCCGCCTTCGCGCTGGCCATCGCCTTGGCGTCTGCGCCCGCCTTGGCGTTTGCCTCTGCTTTCGCCTCGGCATCCGCCTCCGCCCTGGCAAGGATATATCTTGCCTTCTGCTTCTCCCTTGCTTCTTCCCGGGCCTCGAACTCCGCGATCTCTCTCTCCTCTTCGGCGGTCTGCTCGGCCTGTATTTCCTCCTGCGCCCTCACGAACTCGGCGATTTCGCTGGACTCCTGGGCCTCCTGCGCCCTCCTTGGACGAAGAAAGGACTACACAAGTCCGCGCGGATTTCCTGGACAGGCGCAGGACCCCGCCCCCTTGTGCGCGGAGCGTGCCAGGGGCGTCGCCAGAGGCGCCGCCGGGGAGGGCCCAGCACCAATCCAAGAAATCCGCGCGGAGGTCCGAAAGCATGCGTTGATCGACTTGTTTTGCTTAGATTCCTCCCTCGCTGCACGTCGTCGAGGAGAACCACGCCAGGGGCGGCCGCCTTCTCTTCCTCGAGAAGGGCCACGAACTCACCGCGGTTGATGTTGCCGTCGTGGTTGGAGTCGATGTGGTCAAAAAGCTCTCCGCGGTTGATGCTGCCGTCGCGGTCGGAGTCGATGTGGTCAAACAGGAGGCTCGCCTGCGAGGTGTCGGGCAGGCGGGAAGGCGAGGACGGGCGAAAAGAGGAGGAAGACAAAGGGGAGGCGAAGCGAGGGGGGCGAGGCAGGAAAGGGATGAAGGAAGATCTTGCGCCAGCGTTCCCTGCCTTGCCCGCGGCGCCACCGTCGCTGGCATCGGCGCGCTGGTAGATGGCAGGGGGCCCTTGCCGCACAATCCATTCCATCCAATTTTCCCCGCTCAACCCACCCTGATCAATGCCTCCTTCTCATCATTATCACCATCATCATCCTCATCCGCCTTCTCCTCCTCCTCGCCCTCCTCCTGCCGACCCCCCCCCCCTCGCCGCCCTCCTCCTGCCGACTCCCCTCCCCCGCATCTCCTCATGTTATCCCCTATGCCTCCTCATCATCATCATCATCCTCCTCTTCCTCATCCTCATCCACCTCCTCTTCCTCCTCCAATCCTCCAACTCCGCTTCCTCCTCGCCAGCGCCCCCGTCTTCCTCATCAGCATCCGCATCATCATAATCAGAACCACAATCATGCTCAGCACAACCATCATGGCCACGGTTATCATTAGCATCAACATCAGCATCATCAGCACCATCATAATCATCAGCAGCAGCAGCAGCAACGGCATCACCAGCATCATCATCAGCGTCAGCCTCAACATCAGCAGCATCACCATCAGTACCAGCATTATCCTATTCCTCATCATCATCAGCAGCAACATCATTTTCAGCATCAGCATCATCGACATCATACTCATAAGCATTAGCAACACCAACATCATCACTGCCGTCACCGTCATCCGCATCAATATCAGAATCACCGTCAGCAGAATCATCATCACCAGCATCATCACCACCACCACAGGCAGCAGCATATGGACATCCTCCTTCATACCTCATACCATCATGTCATGGAGACATCGCCCCTGATAACTCCCGTCTCCCCTTCTCACCATTCGGTTTCCTCTTCCTGCTCCTCCTTCTTCTCACCCTCCTCCTGACAACTCCTCCTCCTGACAACTCCTCCTCCTGCTCCTCCTCCTCCTCCGCCACCTCCTGTTCCTCCTCCTCCTCCTCCTCCGACCTCCTCCTTCGACATTCTGCACAAGCCAGGGGCCTGGTGAGCACAGGGGATAGCGCTGGCGTCTGCATTGGTTCCCGATGGTTGTGGATAATGCCCCCTACCTACGCGAAGACTCGGGTCCTACTTCTGTATTAGAGAGACGGGTGGGAGTGAGCAAGACACGTTGCGGCGTTCCCGCTGGGAACTTGATCATTTTCCTTCTTAAAAGACACCCGCTCCCTCACCTGACGGGCAACAACCACGGGCCAATGACAACCCCCCGACATCCCTTGCAAACAACGGCATATTGCCTGCTGTGTGCAACGCCAACACCGTCAAACCAACCCTTGCAACGGAACAACTCGCAACATGCACTGTGCGGTCAAATCTGGTTCATGCGCGGACATCCCGTGATCAGTTTACAATGGCTTTGACAATGACGGAGAGAGGGCGGCATATTGCCTGCCTATGCTGAGACTCGAATGCTACTTATGTAGTGGGAGGGCGGGTGGGAGTGTCGATGCGGCTTGCGGCTTGGGGTAGCTCGATCGCTGCCCCCTATTGATAAATACCCCCTCCCCCAAGCGACTGACAGCCAACCCGTCCCCATGAGGACCTCCCCCCAACCATCCCTGTCAAAAACAAGAACAAGTACACGTTGGGGCGAAATCTTGGGTCATGCTCGAGGGCCCTGTGGGCCACCATCCCTGTCAAAAAAAACATGTAAAATGCGATGTGTGGCTATATGCGGCCACCTCTCGATCAATGTCCAGTGGTTTGTGATAGGGACGGCAGGGGTGCTGGCATATTACCTGCTGTGTGCAGGCCTACCAGACACCATGATGGCCTCCCCGCTTTGGTGTTCGACAGGGATGGTGGGGGCCGACATGGTTCCCGATGTGTGCTGTCACATGCACGGACGCACCTGGCACACTCTGCGAGTGCCCCGAACGTGGTGCACCTGGCGCGGCTGGAGCATGCGGCACACATGGCGCACGTAGCGCATCTGGCGTGTCAAGCACGCTTGGGCCCCAGGGTCGCCTGGCAAGCGTGGCGCATCTCGCTCCAGTGTCGCGCAAATGGGGTCTGTATTTCCCAGCAGCTGCCAATCCACACACGCCCGCTGAACATGACACGCTCAGGCGCAGATGCTACTTATATGCTGGGAGAGCGGATGGGAGTGAGCGACATGCATTGCGAGCGAGTAGGGTGACTTGAACCCTACCCATACCCCCTCCCCTGGACCTGGACGGGTGGGCGGGCGCGAGCTGTTAGAGCGTCCAAGATGACCTCGGCGAGAAAACAAAACTCACCGACTGCCCTACTATGTTCAATCAAAAAAATCTGATCCAAAAAATCCCCGGACAATCCCCCGGACAACCCCTTCAAAATGCATGTCATAAGCGTCCCATCACGTGATTGTGGCTGGCGCTCGAGCGGCAACACAACACCCACTTAGGGATGTGGCCAGCGCTGAGGCGAGAGCATCACACCTAATGATGAGGCATGAAGGCGACAGCACCAATCCCAGACGGAAATGTAGCCATAGTTCGGGGGAAAGCACAATTCCCAATCACGGACGTTGCTGGCACTCGAGCGGCAACACCACATGTACCCAATGAAAGATGTGGCCGACGTTGAGGCGAGAATACCGTTCCCAATCAGGAGTAAGATTTTGGACGAATATTTGCTTCCCTGGGGGGAAGGCTAACTAAGGACCCCCCCTTCTTTGATCGAACTCCTCCAAGATGGCCCCAAAATGTCCCCCAAGCCGCCCAAGAGGGCCCCAACAGGGAGGTGAGTCTCCCCTCCGGCTTCACCCGGCGCACCCGCGGGACACCCGGAGCACCCGGGGCACCCGGACCACCCGGGACACCCGGACACCCGGAGCACCCGGAGCACCCGAAACACCCGGAGCATGCAGAGCACCCGGAGCACCCGGGCCACCCAGAGCACCCGGGGCACCCGGAGCGCCCGGGCCACCCGGAACGCCCAGGCCGCGGTGGGCAGTGTAGGTCGGGTCGGGCTCGGGGGAGAGCCACTGCGAAAAGGGGAGCTGTCTGGTGACCTCTTTTTTTATCCCGAACTCGTTGATGAGCTGGAATACATGGTCTCTATCCAGGGTGCTTGGGTCGGCCAGCTGGAGGATCCATATGGCGGCGAAGAGGTCCCAGTTGTACCTCAGAGTGGGCCTCCCCTCTTCCTGTCGTCGCTGTTCGATCACGAGCCTGGTCTGGATGCCTATGGCCAAGTCGTGGATGCACTGCTCGTCGACGCAGGCCTGGAACCTTCCAAGCATACCCTGGGCGCATGTAACCGCATCACTTTCCGCCCTTACTAGTGCAGCTTCTGGCTCTGCGCTTGCCCCGCTTCTGCGTGTAAGCACCTCTGCTAGGGGGGGGGCACACTCTTGGGCGGGCTGGGCCAGGGAAAGAGTCCACGGCAGCTCGCCTTGGAGGCAGGGCCGCGCTGGGAGGTTGGCTGGTGCCGATTCCCAGTTCCACGAGCGTCGGGGCGCGGGCGGGGGTTGCATCTAGTTTGGCGAGATGTACCGGGCCGTGTAGCAGCTGCAGGGATACCCTGGTCTGTGGACGGTCGGCACCTCGGTTGGCCGATCTCAGGTCGGCTTCAGCGGGTAGCGCGATGGTGACCCACATAGGATTTGAGTTGTATAGGTGGCCATATTCTCCGCAGGTGGTGAAGCATACAGCAGCCCTTGTGTGTAGCCTGGTCCGAGAGGACCCTATCGAGGCGGAGAACATCCGTAGCGTTGCGTGGCGAGGGATCCACGGGTCTGGACGCATGGGCCTGGGGCGGGGGGGCCCGACTTGCTCTCCTCGCCGGTCGAAGGCTGTGACTTCCAGTATTTGTGGCTGCAGGGCTCTTCTGGGGGCCTGTCGCACTGCCTCGTCCGTAAGTGCCTCGATGTGTTCCGTCTGCGCCCTCGGGATCCCTGCGTCTCTCCTGGTCTGCTCCCTTGAGGGGGTGGCCGGGAACAGATGGCAGCTGACATGGTGGCAGCAGTGTTGAGTCTGACTCTCACCTGCGCCATGTGCTCGCATTCCCCTGCGTCGGGGAACCAGGCGCGCACCGCGATTACCTGCTCCACCGCTCCGGGGCCCACGGTGGCTTCGACGGCCTCGATCACGCCCTGCTGCCTGGATTGCCCTAAGTCTGCTATGTTCCACCGAAGGTGGAAGCCGTCTTCCGGGTCAGCTAGCCTGGCGAATGAAGGGCCACCGTCCCAGTTCCCTTCTAGAAAATTGCTTCGGGGGCTGAAGGCCGGGGAGCTGCGCGCGGACCCGAAGACCCTGGGGAGTTCGTCCTTGAGGTGCCGCAGTATCGGGGCCGCGATCCTCTCTGGAGTCTTTAGGAGGAGCAATCCTCCCCCGTTGAGGCCTACTCGGTACCCAAAGGCCGCCGCTGCGTCCGCTGCAGCCGATGTGGCCATGCACGTGGCGGCGGCTGGGATGGGGATGCGCACAGAGTCGGAAGCTTCTCTGGGCCTCCAGGTACTCCCATTGATGTTGGTCGCCAACGCAGTCTGTGCTGCGACCTGAAATTCCTCGAGGGGTAGGTCTATGGGGACCTGCACGTGCGTCCGCCTGCCGGGTCGACAACGAACAACACGGTGGAAGAGCGGCTCAAGCTCAACTTTCAGGAGGGTCTCATCCATTGGTAGGGATATCTTCGAAGTGGCCCATTCCACGTCAACTGCTGAGTGCTCGCCCCTGTTGCCACCTGGTAATCTGGGCCACAATGGCGTCGTTCCGTTGCTCTGCTGTGAGCATGTGCAGGGCATCGCTGGTGTCTGCGCCCCTGCCTCCCCAGTGTACCACGATGGATGGTAGGATCTGCGTTCTTTGGGGGTGGTCTGTTATGTGGAACTGCGCCGCGACAAGCTGCGGTAGGGGGGTCATCTTCCCCGTTCGCACGGGGTTCCCTATGGGCGCCAGATGCGTGGTCATGCCGGCCGCTCGATAACCCCACTGGGCATTGGCTATGGCTATCAGTTCGGTCGGGTCGGGGCCTCCTGGCGCTCGGACTCCCTGCCCGGTTAGGGCGAGTATCCTGCATGGGCCGTCACCCGAACTGGCTGCCGACAGCGCTGCTTGCATCTGGGATGCG